TAAGTCTAAATTCCAATATGCGAACATGCACTTGGAAATTGTAGTTTAAGGGAAGAAATAATGTCTATGTAAGCTGTAATATTTCCAAATGCGCATTGGAAACTGAAGGAAAGAAAAATATTGGATGTTGATGGAGATAAGATTGTTCTGTCCTTCTTCCCCTATAAAGTATTCTTCACGGGGAATGGTCTAGTCTAAGAGCATAGAATCGAAACAATGGCAAAGCATAGAGCTCTCCTGTTTCCTTATGTTTTCTCCATTCTCATACTCACTATGAGCTTATTGTGCAAAGCTGTTGATGATGAAGACAGAAAGCCATATATTGTCTACTTGGGATCACTTCCTAATGATGAGGCCTTCTCACCACTGTCTCACCAAATTGGTATACTCGAACTTCTGCTTCTAATTTCTTGATAAGAAGCTACAAAAGGAGCTTCAATGGGTTTGCTGCCAAGCTCACTGACCAAGAAATAGAAAGGCTTGCTAACATGAAGGAAGTAGTCTCTGTCTTTCCAAGCACTAACTTCCAACTTCACACAACAAGATCTTGGGATTTTATTGGTCTCAATGACGAAACCAAAAGGAATTTTACTACAGAGAGTGATGTTGTTGTTGGTGTGATCGACACTGGAATTTGGCCCGAATCGCAGAGCTTCAATGACGAAGGTTTTAGTCCGGCTCCCAAGAAGTGGAAAGGTGTTTGTGAAGGTGGCAAAAATTTCACTTGCAACAACAAGATCATTGGAGCTCGGCGTTACAACTCATCATCAGCAAGGGATGAAGTTGGACATGGGTCCCACACTGCCTCAACGGCAGCAGGGAATGCCGTTAAGGGCGCGAGCTTTTATGGTCTAGCACAAGGTACTGCAAGAGGAGGAGTTCCCTCTGCGAGAATTGCTGCCTATAAAGTCTGCGAATTCGAAAAGTGCCCTGGAGAGGCTATCATGGCTGCTTTTGACGATGCTATTGCTGATGGAGTTGACATCATTGCAATTTCACTTGGAGGCACTTTCGTCACTTCTTTCGATAAGGATCCTATAGCCATTGGCAGTTTTCATGCAATGAAGAAAGGGATACTAACTGCACATTCTGCAGGCAACAGTGGTCCTGAAGAGGGTACCGTAGTAAGTGTAGAACCATGGGTACTTACAGTTGCAGCAAGTGGCACAGATCGCCGGATCATTGACAAGGTTGTTCTTGGAAATGGAAGGACACTCATTGGGAATTCGGTGAACTCTTTCACATCCAATGGAACAAGTTATCCTTTGGTATATGGAAAAGATGCTACAAGTCATTGCTCTGATTTCGATGCTCAGAGTTGTTTAGCAGGCTGCATAGACAGTGCTTTAGTCAAGGGAAAGATTTTGGTATGTGATGCGTCTGATGGAGATATAGCGGCTCTTCAAGCTGGTGCACTAGGTTCCATTGTAATCAGTCCCAGTGAGGATGTTGCTTTTATTGTCCCACTACCTGCAACAGGTTTAAGCATCAAAGATTATGAGGGGCTCAAGTCCTACCTGAACTCCATAAAACATGCTAAAGCCAACATATTAAAAAGTGAAGCCATAAAAGATCCTGCTGCACCCATTGTTGTTTCTTTCCCTTCCCGTGGACCGAATTCAATTTTACCAGAAATTATTAAACCAGACATAAGTGCCCCAGGAGTAAATATTTTGGCTGCATTTTCTCCTGTTGCTGCTATCACAGATAGCCCTGACGATGGGAGGCATGTCAAATACAGTATGCTATCTGGAACCTCCATAGCTTGTCCCCATGCTGCTGCTGCAGCTGCATATATTAGAACATTCCACCCTGAATGGTCTCCAGCAGCCATCAAATCATCTCTTATGACTACAGCTTGGCCCATGAACCACACT